TGGATAACGCAACATTTGAGCGTTGAGGATCAGTCCAAAATGTTGCCGTTTCTTCCTCAACTTTTTTGGCGCTACCAGTTCGAGTCTTTGTTGTGATAAGCAATACTATATCCGCCTCCTGACTTTGTATGCTGTCTACTGTAGAGCAGCTTACATTCCTGACTTGCCTTGCCTCCAATTGTTCTTTTATCACATCCATTTGAGCCATATAGAAGCAAATAACTAAGATTCTCTTACGCCTGGCGAGTAGTGGCTGGCTTAATATGTCGATTAATGCCATGGCCGTTTCAGTGTGCCCAGGATTTGTTAACGAGAACGAAGTCGCGTCTTGCATGGTCATGGTGTTTTGATGTATGAGTACAATGGGACAGGTCTGAACAGGAAGGTTTATACCAATTTCGTCTGTGAGTAAATTCCTCTGCGCTTCTGTAAGTCCCGCGCGGAATTGCTCTCCTGCTGGTCTATAGACACTGGCTTCTAGGCATCGCACAATACTGGGATGTGACCTGAAAGATACTACGAGTCTATTATTACTAATACCTGCGTAGTCCTGCACGATTCCAATTATTGAGTTCATTGCCCATTTGTTTCTCACTACTTGTGGCTGACTTGGGGTATAAACCTGTAACTGCAAGTAGTCGCCAGTAAGCAAAAGTTTGCGAAGATTCCTGTACTGGCAGATTGTGGAAAGAATGGCGTTGTGCTGGCACTGTCCAACTTCATCCACCACCATATGAGTTATGGTAGGTGTTATTACAGACTTGTTCTCACGCGGGCTTGCCATGCTTGCGTCTAGAAATGACTGGAATTCTTCTGCCAAAGCCATGGTCATGAAAAACACCCTAAACTTTTTAAGCTGGCTTACCTCAAATGAGGCTGCTCGCTCTTGAGCCCTTCTTGGCGCCCTTTCCCAATCCCTTTCATATTTCTGAATCAATTTACCGCTTTTCTTCATCAACTCCTCCCGAATGTCTTCATCCTTCACTCTATGAACAACTAAATGTTCACCCACCTGTCTGATTCTTTCCATATATCGGGCCTTTCCATTACCTGAGAAGATGGCCAACATGGGAACTTGTTGGCCAGCCATTCTCATTGCCTTATCCGTGTCTTCGGCAAGTTCACAAACAGCTACATTTATAGGTGCTGTGGCCAATATGACTGCTTTCGGGTCCCGTTGGAGTGTCGCCGCTATTGCCGCCCCCGATACCCAGGTCTTACCCGTTCCTGGCGGGGCTTGATTAAATATTACTCTGGGTCGGTTATCCAGGAACATCGCAACAGTTAAGAGCTGTTGCTCATTTAATGTTTGAAGGGCCGGGTGTTCATCTACAATGCCTCCAATGTGTTGAGGTGGTGGCGGTTCCCTGCGTTCACGACCTAAGAGAGCACTTGCAATTGGGGCAATGGGATGATCAGATTGGGCAAGCGACCAGGGAAGTCCGTCCATGAGAGTCAGTTCCCTTCGGTGTAGCATTTTTGTGTTGGAAATCGGTATTATTCTAGCCTCCCATTCACTGGTTACTAAGTCATGCCAATCGTCAAACCCCCGTTCGTAATTTTTTGCGTCTTGAAAGCGGGCCGCCATAACTATTTCCATGTTATACCCATCTCTTGTTATGTTTTTCCTAGCTTGCCTTATTTCGCCATATCCGCAAACTTTAGTATCATGATCAGGTCTTTTAATGTGTACGTTAGAATCTTCTTCGTAAGTTTTCCAATAACCTTGAAGCTCTTTAAGGTCTTTTGTGTGGATAAAGAATCTCAACAATAGGGTCTTGTCAACAGTCTTCTTTTTGGCCTTGTCGTCTTCCAACCAGTACAGCATAGACGTGACTGAATGTTTGATTAACCGACGTTCTTCAACATCTCTTTGGTGTGCAACAACAGCTGACATTGCTGCTAATGTTAAACCTACCCTAGACGACGAAAAGTTTGCTCGGAGTGGATAAGAAATCTGTTCTGACAATGGCCTAGCTCCGATAATAATCCAGTTCTGGTGCGCCCATACTTCATCACCGACACGGAATGGAGTTTTCTCAGGCAGAATATATGAGGAACCCATTCTCCATATCTGTGGGGAATTAATTGCACACAAATTTACCTCGATGAAGTGACCGGTTCGTAGGTCTTCATGGTGAATATTTGTGAGTTGTCTGGAATTAATTACCTGGCTACGAAGCATATCTGGTGCCATTAGCTCCGCCGATTTAAATGTACCCCTTGCTCTGTTAATGTTCACAGAAACTACTAAGGCTGGTAGCCAAGTTGGGGCTTCTCTAACTAATTCAACTGTTGCCGACGTCGCGGTGGCCTGGTAGTTTATTGTACCTGAAAATAACCACGGGGGATAACGCCCTTGGGCCGCTGTATCATTCGGTCCATTTGCCGCGAATTTACCTAACACTTCATACCCCTCTCTGTCCTCCCATTCACCTACCTCAACAAGATCCCCCAACTGTAATTTTCGATGTCCCCCTTCCACCAAATTTTCAGGAATTTTTGTGAAGAACGGACCTTTTCCTGATATTCTCGCACCAATCAACTCTCCATCTTTGGCTCTGGCGATCATGTACCTTAATGGACCTTTACCTAACACAGCTTCATCATCACGAGCCGGTTCCGGTGTTGAAGAAGTAATTCTTGCCTCATCTGGGAGGTCTTCAGGATTTATTCGATCGGACTGCTGAGAGCTCGAAGGCTGGTCCCAACCACTATCTTTATTAGCCCATTCTGAGACCCCTGAAGATTCCCCTTCACGACCCGACGACTGTAAAATATTTTTCATTTTTGTGCCAGAAGGCACTTCATACTCGACACTTTTGTTTATGCCAGAAGGCACTTCAATTACACTAATTTCTGTGTCAGATGACACCGACTCTATGTCCATATCCTCATACTCTGGGAGTTCCACCTGACTTAACCTTGCTCGGATTTTCATCAATATTTCACCCATTTTATTTGTTCCGAATTTCTCCGATTCAGGCGTGAAATGCTCCAGAATAGGATCACTCATACCATACCCAACTCCCCACTCACTATCTCTTGGATTGGCCTCTAATATCCACCCTTCACCTGTACTCAAGAGGAGACGCTTTAGTTCCGCATTCTGGTTATACTTTTCGAACGCTATCTCCTCAATAAGCGTCTCTTTTACCTTGGACCACTCTTTCTGTATTTTCAAATCCCCCACTACTTCTTTGCCAATCCATTTATAATTCCGCGGATGAACTTTCTTTTTTATGCCAGAAGGCATTTTATTGTTATAACCCCCACCCAAATGTTTTAACGACTTTACCTTGTTAGCATTCACCATATCCCCGAAGAAGTTAGCTTTTTCCCACACATACGCCTGCTCTACACAATCAAAGGATAAGTTTTTCCATACCAGTGGAGCATAGAAAAAGTTCGACAACGGGTGGAGCTGCCCTAAGAAAGGATAAGCTTTACCTCCCATTTTCAATGTAACCACTGGAAGCTCGTTCTTCCACTCACTCTCATTATTATGCCAGAAGGCATTTAATTCATAATTATTTGAAGACATTTTTTTTTAATAAAGAATTAATAATAGATTTTTTTTAATTATTATATCTGAAATTGAGATAAAGATTTTAGTTAAAATTATATTGAGATAATTCGCGATAAAATGATGGTATATTTACGGATTTCTAGGCCTTAGATTGTATCTGTGAGTGTTTGGGTTTTCTTGACACTCGGTATTGTTTCGACTCTTATTATCAGCATGATTAGTATTTTGGATGGAATCAGTGTTTATGTTGTGATCAAATCCCGGGGTATGTTCAATTTCTATAGCTTCTGCACTTTTTAAAGAACTTTTTTCCTCTTGTGATAACCCCGGAATTGTACAAACTGGACCCAGATATTCAAAACATTTTTTAATCTGATTTATATGTACCTTCCTTGGGTTAGCCTGTGGCGAATTACAACTAGTTATTGTGACGTATATCCCCTCTATATTTATTACTCGATATATGCCTTTCCAAGGGAGGTGGAACTTCTTCGAAGTTCCGGGCTTTCCTGCGTAGTTGCGGATTAACACCCTATCCCCTATTTCAATTGTCGAAACCCTTGTATGTTTATCATATTGCTCTTTCATTTTTATTTGAGCTTCCTTATGGGCTTCTGCTGCTGATTCCCAGGCTACCCTGAGTGAGGTAACAAGCAATTGCTTGAATTCTGCAGTGTCATTAAAGGCTATTGGGTCGCGGACTCTTGGATCTAATATTTGGTCAACGCAAAAAATCGGGTCTCTCCCAAACATTAAATAAAACGGAGTTTCATTTGTTGTGTTATGTACCGCAGTGTTATAGCAGAAATTAGTAAAGTTCAAAAATTCATCAAAATTAGGCTGATTTTTAGTTATGTATTTAGAGAGTATGTTATTAAATGTTCTAAACGTTCGCTCTGTTATGGCATTACCTTGGGACCAGTTTGGAATAGCATATTTTTTGTTTATATAAAGCATGTGACAAAATTCCTTAAAGAACTCTGAGGTAAAGGTCGTTGCGTTGTCAGATATTAGTTCAGTACAGCCCCCAAACTTAAGATAACATTCATTCAAAAATGCTTTAGCTATCGTCTGGGATTTTGTGTCTGGTACGGGGACGGATATTATATATTTCGTGAACCAACAAATTATATTTAATATATATTTGTTACCTTTTTCTGTCACCGGGAATGGTCCGGCCAAGTCTAGCCCTACTTTTGCAAATAATGTATTTGAAGGTGCCGTTGCCATTTCAGCCCTATAAGCTGGGGTAGGAGAGTGTCTTAATTGACAGGTAATACATTGTTTTGTCCACTCATTTATGTCAGTATACATCATTGGCCAAAAATACTTCTGACACTTTCTTATTGTTTTCTTAACCGAGAGATGCCCCCCTCCTAGAGGTGAATTGTGAAAGGATTCAAAAATAAGGGATCTAAGAGAAACTGGAATGTAAAGTCTCATTTTAAAACCAGAAGGTTTGTAGTAAAGAATGTCTGAATCTAAACAGAGTGTTGCAGCTCTGTTAACAAAACTAGCAATTTCTGCTTCTGTGAATCCTTCTGGGGTAGTACCATTTTCTAGAAAGTCTATATATGCTTTTGCTTCAGGATCTTCTCTTTGTTCTGTTTTAATATCTACTGTAAATGATTGCCCTTTATTGTCCCTTAGAATTACTGAATTAATTATTTCATCTGTTGTTAATCTACTACTAGGTTTTATCGCTAAGCACACTGGGAATTCTGCGATGTCTTCCAACTCTTTTAGGTTTTCAACTTTTTCAGGTGTTTCTTCATGAATCCTAGACAGTGCGTCTGCTAACGAGTTTTGTTTTCCCGCTATATGGACTATTTTTATTTGATAAGATTGGAGTTCTATCAGCCATCTAGCGAGGTGTGGGTGTGCCTCAGCTTTCTTTAATAAATAAGCTAATGGTTTGTGGTCTGTGTGTAGTTCGACATCGGACATAAATATATAAGGTTTAAATTCCCGAAGAGCAAAAATTATAGCTCCTAGTTCAATTTGAACTGGAGGCCATTTTCGTTCTGATTGGGCTAAAGTCCGACTGCAATATGAGATGGCTGAATAGGTCCCGGTATTTTCATTTTTCTGCATTAATACCCCGGCTTGCCCTACCGTCGATGCGTCTGTGAATATATGGAACGGTTTTGAATAGTCCGGGAAGATTAGCGAAGGTCCCTGCGCAAGCAATTCTTTTATTTTATCAAGCGCACTTTGTTGCTCGCTTCCCCATACGAAAGGTGTGTCTTTTTTTGTAAGTCTTGTCAACGGTTCAACAATTGTGGAGAAGTCATGAATATGCCTACGGTAAAAGGAGGCCATTCCTACTATTCTTTTAATCCCCTTTACATTCTCAAGAGGGGCTAGATTTTTGATTATTTCGATTCTGCTTAGGCTTGGTTTGTAACCATTTGCGTCTAGAATGTGCCCCAGAAAGTGCATTTTATTAGACCCAAATATACATTTTTGCGGCTTTAGTTTTAAATTGAAGTGTCTAAATCGTTCAAAGACTTTTCTAAGAACATCGATATGGTCCGAAAAATTTGGGGACTTAGTGAAGATTAGTATGTCATCTACATATGAGATAACGGAATCTTCCAACCCTGATAAGACATTAGTCATAGCTCTACAAAAGACGGACGTTGCGTTTTTTAGACCAAACGGCATATGCGTCATTTGATATATTTTATCCTCAGTTATAACCCCGCATTTTCTTGAGGCGTTATCCGTTAATTTTATTTGTAGGTAGCCACTAGCAAGGTCCAGAGAGGAATAGAAGTTACAGTTCCCTACTTTTTCCATTATTACTTCCAATCTAGGTAACGGATAGTGGTCGGGGACTGTTATCTCATTTAATTTCCTAAAGTCTAAACAAGGTCTAATACTCCCATCCTTCTTTTGAACTACTACAAATGGAGTGAGCCAGGGAGTGTCCGATTCAACCATAACACCGGCTTTTACCAGCTGGTCAATGTGTTTTTCTAACTCTTCCTTATATCTGAAAGGTGTGCGTCTCGGTTTTGACGCGACTGGTTTTTCAGTCTCGGTTATAATGTCATATTGACCATCTGAATAAGAGCCTAAGTCATATTGACTTTTGCTAAAAATATCATGAAATTCCTCACATAACTCTTTTAATTTATTTAAATCTTCTTGATCAACCTGAGCCTGCGTGAAATCTATCTTAAACTTTGGGTCCTCAATTATTTTAGTATTTTCTTGTGATATGTTATTTATCTGCTCGGTCTCCATTAGTATATTAGGGTTCATTGAGTCAAGAGTTAGTGGAGATGAGAGTGCTATATGTTGATTTTTATGAATGTTTATTATGTTTTGTGTTGGGTTTGTTAGTACAATTTTTATTAACCCATTCTGTGAATTATTTACTAGTTGCACCATTCCTATATTTTTCTCCCTCATTTTCTCTTCAAGATGTGTGATTATGTAAGTTGAGTTAGTGGATATTTCATTTTCAATGGTTCCTGTTATTATTGTTTGAGAATTGGGATTTAATGAAATAGAGTTAGCTGATGATATTCTAAAATACTTATTGTTCGGATGATCAGACATTTTTATTTGTGTACGCCCAAAATGTACTTCCCTATTCTTTAAATCAATTGAGACTGAGGGCCAATGTTCCAGTGTGTCACATCCCAAAATAACGTCAAAAGTCTTATTTGAGAAGGTCTGACTGCTTATAAAGTTTACTGTTATTTCTATTGTTTTTTGAGCTATTGTTATTAGCACCTGGCTTTGGTAATTTACTTGAATCGCATGCCCGGATGCACTTATTGCTTCAGAACTTGACCTAGTCAGAGTGCAACCTAATGTATTAGCAAGCTCTATTGGTGCTACAGTTATACTTGCGCCTGTATCTATAAGACATTTGATTGGTAAGCTATTTATTTTTGCATTAATTATCGGTAAGCGTCTATACTGATCATTAACTGTTAAGAGCATTATTGAAGATTCACTACTGCTTGGTGGTTTTGCTATGGGGGTGTACCTAATGGAGTTAGTTAACTTTGACCTTTCTATTTTGGGTGTAATTTCTTGTAATTCAAGTTCACTCTGCCTTGGCTTTTCTATTGCTTTTAATTTCCTAACAGTTGACGCGTTTTGAGTTAGTGTCCCAAATAATATTCTGCCTAGCCTCCCATTTCCTGCGTAGCTTTCAATTATTACTAGGACAATTCTAATTACACAATCCAAGAGTGAAATACATGCTATTATAGTTATAAAAATTCGCCATTCTTTAGTCCAATCCCCAAATATTTGTTGACTAATTTCATCCCTAGCAGTTTCCCAAGGTTTGGAAAATTTGGTTACTATTTTTTGGTCTTTGCTTGTAATTTGGTATGAAATTTCACTCACCTTTATCAGGTTGCTCATGTATGTATGTTGATTAATATCAGTGATGTTTATCAATACCAGTTGGTGAAAAGAGTGACTAGAAAGTTTTGGGAGTTCTTCAAATCTTGGGTTGAAGCTTCTTTGAGGGCGGGCTTCTATTCTTCTGAGTCTGGCAGTTACTTGGTCTAGTTCAAACGTGTCGTTATCAAGTTGAACAATTATTGACCGTGCATGTCCACAGTTCAATTTCTTTGCTTCTGGAATTATTTGCATTGTGTGAGGATTGAAGAATGCTGACTGTTCCGATCCATGAGTTGAAAAGCTTACGGGTGGATATTCAAAGCATTGGTGTGACGAACCTGTTGGGATAAATCGAAAGTGATTGTGGGGAATTACTATACATGGCCAGACTTTTATTAAGTTTGTACCCCTTCGCTCTGCGTGAATGTTAGAATCCTTAAATAAAATTCTTGCAAGCGTTGTTGGGTCCGCTAACATCGCTAGTTCGGCCCATTTCCAGGTTTCTTCCATTAAATTACAAATAGTATTAAATGTGTGTGAAAATGTGAATGTCATGGAATTGCTTATTTGGAGTTCTAAATATGACATTTCTGCAGCCAATTGGCTTGAAGTCACTAATCCCTCAATGGCCCTCTTTACCCTTTTTCCCGCTGGAGCCTGATTAATTTTGGAGCCTATTACCCTATAAGCGAGACCTTGCTCAGTCAGAGTTATTTCCCTATCACAATCATTTATTTTCTTTAGAGGCTTTGTGTCAGATAGCGCAATCGGATCCTTTTCTGCAACCCATAGATGATCGACTACTTGCCCATTTTGTTGGCTTATTGACAGAAATTCACAATTCTTTCCTAGTGCTGGTACCCATATTATAGTAGTGTCATCATCAAGGGAGCAAGAACCTATGTCATAAGGGCAGTTTCGGGTTACTCCAAAAGGAGTTTGAATTGATTTCTCTCCAAATCGCGAAAGAACCTGAGTGGGAAATATATAACAATTCTTAGAGACTACTTCCTGCCACGTAAAGGAACCTAAAAGCCAAGTCCTAGGTGTAAGATCTAGTTTATTGTTAGTATGAAACAGTTCCCCCTCTTGCTGGAAAATTCCAAATTCGCACTTTTTGTGATCTACCATGCTTTTACATTCCTCGGGTGAGATTACTAATGGCTTTATTTCCCCTGGTTTTTCTATTGGAACTCCGGAAAGTGAAGTGTATTTAACCATAGATTTAATTATTTTCCTGCAGGCCCATGCTTTAGTTTTATATTCAAGGTTATTTGGTACAAAAATTTGTCTTGTTTGTGGGATAGGAGGTTTTGTGAGTTGATTTTTTATCTCCGGGCATTTTGGAAATTCAGGTAGGGACCATAATAATCCATGTTCTCTAGTTTGGCATATTAGTGGTTGTTTCGGAAATGGGCTGCTTGCACCTAGAGCTGTTATAATTGAAAGTATAAGAGCTATAAAGAAGATATGATTCAATCTGGGACCCATTGAGTTTCTTTCCCAGTTAGTTACGTTTGGCGTTAATGCTTTATTTTGTAGTTTCATTTCTTTTAAGTTAGAGTTTGTTAATTGTTCTTTATGTTCGGTTTCTACTTCTTTACTTATTATTGGTTGATGTTCAGTTATTGTATTTACAGAGTCTTTTTTGTTAGTTTGAGTTAAACTTAATTGCTTAGCTAATTGGTTTGCCAGTTCTGAGATGTTTAGATTTTGGTGTGCGGGGTTTGGGATTTGTTGAATTATTGGGTAAGCTGAGGTATGGTAGATTTGCCTATGAGGAATATATTGGGTTTCCTGTGAGTAATTTTGATGATTTTGCTCCACATAATTTATTGGGAGTGGAATTTTATTTGGGTTCTGATTTTGTCTGTTCGGATTTGGATAATTTCTATTATTTTGCCATGTCTGTGTTGTAGTCGGTGGATTTCGCCTGAAACAATTATAAGAACTGTGACCTACCTTTCTGCAGTGTTGACATACTGGTCTGCCACTCCATCTACGATCATTCATGTTCCTATTTTGATATTGGTTCCTCCTTTGAAAGTTGTTCTGGTTCCAGTTATTTTGAGGTTGTCTTTGGTAGTTGTTGTCTCGTTTCAGAGTATTGAATTGACTTGCATTATATTGTCGTTGTGGCCAATTACTGGTTGATGATGATTGATGTTGATTATTCTGATTTGGATTTCGTACCCAGGAATTAATATTGGTTTCAGGAAGTTTAGGGTTTTGAATTATATTAATTGAATTAGCTAAACCCCTTGGGTTATCAAATGAAAACGAATCGTTTGTCGCGGTTAATACTTCTATTTCTTGTGCCTTTGCGTATAATTCATCTAGGTCTTTGGCCGATCCTACTATTCTAATTAGAAAGCTTATATTAGGCCTTAATCTCTCTAAAAATTCTTCGCGAATTTTGGCCTGCTTCTGTGCTTCAGTTTCATTTTCAAAAGTGGCCCGTACTAATGGGACTAACCGAGTCATGAATTCTCTAACAGTTTCGTTATTTCTTTGCTTACACATTATTAACTCCCTTTTTGAAATTTCTAACCTATGTGGAGCTGCTAATTTTGACCTAATAGCAGTTAAAGCATTTGAAACCGTATCTTTTTCGTTTGGCCTAAGTTTATCAAAAATGGACCTGGTTGTACCCTCTAAATGGAATTTAAGTCTATGCAATTTTGTGGCCTCATCCCAATTTGCTGGTGCACAGTCAAGAAGGTCCTTAAATTTTTGTGCCCATGTATCAAAAGTAACTACCGATTCATCCTTGTATGTGGACATGATTCCATCCTTTTCGAGTACATTAATCATATTAATTTGATCTGCTTCACCAACAATTGTATCGTCAATTGCTTCGTGTGTTTGAATATCTGCTAACGTTTGGTTAGCCGATTCTAAAGTGTTATTAGTGGAGTTCATGTCCAAGTTTGTCTCAAGTTTGGTTACTTTTTGCGATAGCGTATCAATGCGATTATTTATTACCTCTAAATTTGCATTAACCCCAGCTGCCATATCGTTAATCGCGGTGGTATTGCTTGTCGCGCGTCTATTTACTAGTCTTAGACTTCGGTTTATTGCTTCTTCTAGAGTGTGCGTTATATCATACATGCGCTTTACATCGGATAGCCGCGCGCTCTCACTTTCATTTTTATTCCAAAAGGAATTTTTTGTAGTTACAGATACTGATATATCTGCACTATTGGGAGGGTCTCCCATTGAATGCTAGGACTGTTTGGAGTTTAATAGAATAAATTAGATTTTAATTAGAATTTAATCTAAAATTGAGAATTTATTTACTTAAAAACATTTTATTATATTTATTTATTTTTCTGAATAAATAAAATTTTATTTCCAAAGTTATGTTTATACTTAATCCATTAGATGGATGTTAAAAAAAAAATTTTTTTTATGAGCCTTTGTTTGTTAAGATAGTTTGTTAAGTGTTCTCAATGTATCATTTTAAAAAATGATATTCATCCTTTCTAATGGTTACAATAAAATTTATTAAACTGATATTTTCTCATGTAGTTTTATTTACGGAGACTAATCACAGCCTGTGATTTTATTTCCTGTCACTTTTCCTTTCGGGAGCTTATCTTATGAGCTTTTATTTGTTGTAATTGACTGCTAAAGTGGATTGTTCATAATTTTCTCTTTTGCTTCACCTTTTTGTTATCCCTTTTCCCATTCACCCTTTTTATTAGTTTAATCTTTGCCATTACTTATCGCATTAGTTATAGTCGCTTTTTATAAAAGAACCTTTGCCCCATCCCTTTGGTCTTTCATTCAAAGTATACTAATCATGCTGATTGGAGTTCTAATTGAATTTTGTATAGGGAAAATGGTATTGAAATATATGTTCGCGAATATATATCTAAGATTAAGTAGGGATTTTCAAATTTACATCAAAATAATTTAAAGTTCGTAATTGTAAAAATACAAACTAGAAAATAAATTTGGAGAACAAAAGAAAAATTGAATTAGCTTTTACAAATTAATAATTGTAAAAAACTATAAAGATTGTAAACAATCCATTAATAAGTGACTTTTCTACAATTTAAGTTTTCTGGGAATTATTAACAGATTTAGTTAATTATTACCTGATTTATTATCAACGTTTACCAATTAAGAGCGAGGTCAAAGTAAGCGAGGTAAGAGTAGGAGCGAGGTAAAAATTTAATCCAAGATGTACTAATTAAAAATTAAAATAATAAAATATAAAGTTATAGAAATACTATAAAATCATTTGATTCACCAAATAAGAATTAAGAGCGAGATAAAGAGCAAGGTAAACTCTTTACCAGTAAGAGCGAGGTAAAAGTTTAGTCCAAAATGTAATAATTAATTCAGAGGTAAGAGCGAGGTAAAAGTTTTAATTCGAAAATAAAAAAAATTAATTCCGAAAGGTAAAAATCTAATCCTGCAAGGTGAAGATTTGTTTTATATATGTTATATTTAATTATTGAAAATACTACAATAGTAGTAAATACACCATTTAGTATAATTAAAAAAAATCAAAACTAAATGAGTTCTAATTGTTAAAAAAAACAACAAAAAATATTTTTTAAGTCAAATCATTTTCCCTATAATGCTCAATATAATTAATTTATTGTTTATTTTCGTTAATGCTGACAAATTGATATAAATTCTAGTAGTTTACAGAATAATTCAAAAGTCTACTTTTTCTAAATAATGGTTGTTATATCAGTAATGATCATTTAGAATTTCTAAACAAAATGATAATCTTAATTAAAAGTTAATGCCAAATAACGTGATGACTAAAGTTTTATTTTCTGATTATGTGAATGCTTCGTTATATTCTTATTCAATTATTAAGTGTATGAATTATGTTACCTATCTAAAAGAAAATACAATAAAAATGATTAAGTGACAACATTTTTTTTGTGCAAACTTTTTATAAAAATAAAATGTATGTCTTTTATCTAGAATATCTCACAGGTACTAACTATTTCGATACTATTTTCGACGAATAATTTAATAGTACGCCATTTAAATTTGTATACGCGTCCTTGTATGATTGTTAAAACTTTCCTGAAAAATTCTTTACTTCTACTATTATTTTTTTTGAAATACCACTTATTTTCCGGAAAGTTTTCTACATCATACTTGTTTTATACAACAAATTTTTGTTATATCTTTTACAAAAAGCTACAGCAAAATATTTAGAGTTATGACCTACTTCTAAATGTGATTGTGACATTAACTTTTACTGGTTTCAGACATTTGAGAGGTTCTAAAGATAAACGTGTAATATACAATAAAAATTTTAGGATTGATAAAAATATATAAAAAGATTATGATTCAGTTGAATTATTTAGTTTTATGAGAGACCCTTTTTCTGACTTTAATTTTTAAACCATAGGGTCTTCTTTAACTTATATATATTTAAAAAACGTATAAAAACAATAATTAAAATTATTGTTACGAATGCGATTATTAAAGCACACTAAATTGTAAAAAACTAAACAGGAAAGATTTCTTTTCTAATGTAAAATTACATTTCTTTTTCCAATGAAAAAAGGTCTGGTTAGAGGTAAAGTAAAAGTAGGTAAAAGTTTAATTTT